GACTTTCAACACTGGGAGGGTAGCTGTCATCACTCTCCGAAGTTAAACCTCCACTGGGGTCAAGCAATTTCGTCTATTTAAGAAAGTCTGTACCGCACGGAGTGCAGGAGGAAAAAAACTCCGTAGCTAAAAGGTTAAGAAAAGGGGCTATATGCAGACCACATGGTTGCCACACACGTTGGGTATTACTTAGTAAAGAGGAGGTTTAAGCTCTGAGTAATATATTATGCAAAAGGTTTACCATGTTATGCTTTGTTACAAATTACATGTTTTGAAAATGAACGACGTTTGGAGAAAGTTTTGAAATTTAAACGATTGCCATAAAGCAACATAAACGTGTATGATGTTTTTTGTAAAACGACATTTTAAATAATAAAGGGCAATACGATCGCTGGCTGCCTCGAACTACTCAATACGGTATAATAAACATCTAAAACAGAACCCGAAGATTAGAATATAGCAATCAATAACTATATCAATATTAGCATGTTCAGGAGAAACAAGAGAAACGAAACGTACCCAAAAACATGAGGTCGCCCAAATGAGAGTTCTAAGAAAAATTACAAATCACACACTACTGAATAAGGAAAGAAACAGAAATAGCGGGGCAGTGTGCAAAGTGAAGCCCATTACGGAATGGGAAGCAGACCAAAGAAAGGAACGGAAACAATTATATTCAGAGAATGGTGGAGAAAACATTCGTGAGGATTGCTAGAGAAGAAAGGCTGAGGGGAAGAAGATAATCTGGCAGACCAAGGAGACGATGGAAAGACTCGTTCTAATTCTTGGAAAGTAACAAGTCGTAGATTTTTTAAGAAAATGAAGAAGAAGAAGAAAAAGAAATTTTAAATTTATAAAGAACAAAGTTTTATTATAAATATAAAAGAACGAAGCAAATTTTAAAAAGCTGTTTTGCTTATGGTAACCAAAGATTTTGATATTATGACGTCACGCAGGAAGGTCTGGCAGTGTAGACGATCTGTGAGGACGAGCGATTTGGACTAATGGGACAAGATAGAACAATACAATTCTACTGTGGTATCATGCCCTTAATATTTGAAGGTGTTTGAAAGGACAATCGTCATGTTTTCTGTCGGCAACATCCAAATGATTGCGTAATGGTGAATTCAATCGACGAAGGATTAGATAATTTAAGAGAATATTTAAAACATGTTGAGTTTAGTCTAGAATAATTTCAAGAAAAAAGCCTCAGTTTACTTGTTCGTGGAATAATTTAATTTTTTTGTATTTTCTTCGTAGTGGCACTTGAAGATAATATTTCCAGTCATGTAGTTGAGATTTTCTATTTCGCATTTTATATTTTCATTTTTCAACTGTACTTAAATTCTATTTTTATTCAAATTTATAAATAATATTCTGTAAAAGATAACATTTTAATTGTAATTTCGATGCGTTGTTATTTTGAACTGAACGCTGAAGATGGCCGCAATGCGATCAAAAACTATTTATGGAAAAAGAAACCCATACGACAAAACGACGCCTCATATCTATTTCTGTAAGTACAGATTATTAATATTCATTATTCAAAATTTAAATTTAATTCATCTTAACGGAAGATTAATTTGAGACCTAACAGCGGGTCCGGGCATTTTCATATTTTAATATAATATATATCTTTACCAGTGCCTATAGAATGTCAATAACAAATCTGGGATAAACTGAATTGGAATTCACTAACAATCAAATCTATTATTAATAATTTATATAGTAATATAATTATACATTAGGCACGCAAAATTTAAGTTGAGTCCCCCGTCCGCTTCCAATACTTCGTCGCTTCTTTTCGTGCATACGTATTATATGCCGAACAAGAGGATTGCACTTTAATGTCACACACCTGCAAACATTACATAAAAAAAAAACGGCCAAACCATGTACTATTATACAAGAACCCGTAGCAACTCTAGTTTCTTTTGCATTCAGAAAACATGGCAGCCAGTAGTGCAAATTGCTTCAAGCAGCAGCACTGTTCCTCTCTCAAGCTCATTGTAGTGGGATGGCGGGCCATGACGAGGACAAGAGGGGAGGTCCAGCGGGGACGACGGCATGCGCGATAAAATGCCTCTTTATAAAGGATATCTTGCAACGGAAATGGTCCATTATAATGCTGATAAACAAAAGCCTTTTTGTCTGCAGGATCACGAGTTAATTTTCTCCCCACGCATCAAATCCGTGAGACCTTTCTCGACAAGTTATTATACATTTGGAGTGTATTCAACTCTGTAACACTGTAGCTCTGTAGTCAGAGACACATTCGAAGTTTGGTACCAGTATCAATATATTTCTGCTATTAAGATGTAAATTATGAGGAATGTTCTCATCGGTCTAACCAATGTAATATTTCTTACAATTCTCTAATCAAAATATATGATATTACAAACGTTTCGTCTATTCACTTTCAAACGACAGTGCATTTATGTTCATCGCGTTTACTGCACTTTCTTAGAACTACAGCAGCTCTTCCCTCTGTAATAGCTGCAGTGACCCAATGGTAGAAACATTAGTTTTCTCTGGATCGTTGCTAACCGGGAAATCGTAGTGTTTTAGACTCGGCTGGGGAACATTGTGATATTAACAACGTAGGAGTAGCTCAACCCATAATATATATAGGTGAATGAAGCCACAATGTCTGGGGGAGAATAGCGGCTAGTTGCTCTGATCACGAGTTTTCAGTGTTCTCCGATCAATGCCAGGTGAATACCTTAGAGTAGAACCTTAAAAACTAGTGGTGCTAAAACAACTCGTACATTCTCGCCCGTGCTTCCATGCAAAATTACGGGAAAAGTACTCAAATTTTCGAAAAATTGTAAATGAAAACAATCTCCATCTTCGTAATTATAGTTGAAGTAAGACGCCGAAAACATTTTGAACTTCTGCAATTTTCGAAAAATCAGAGTTTTCAACGAAAATGAGACCTGATCCAATTTCTTAAACGTCC